CGCGCCCGCGACCGCCTCCGCCAGCGCGGCGCCGTCCAGCGCCCCCGCGGCCGGCGCGACGTGGTCCCGCAGGAACGCAGACAGCCGCAGGCGCGGGACGCCCAGGTGTTGCTCCAGCACGCCCTCCTCGCCGCCGCCGTCCGCCCGGAGGACGCGGCAGCCGAGCAGCTCCGCTGGCACGGCGGCAGGGGCGAGTGCGCAGCCCTGCTGCACGGCGGCGACGAGCGACATGAAGCGCACGGCGGCCGCCACTGGGCGGCCCGACGTGGCCGCCGCTTGCGACGCGTCAGGGGCTGTCTCTGGCTCCGCCTGCGACGGCGCTGTGGAGTCCTCCTCGTTGCCCGAGCCGCCCAGCCCGGCGGTTGGCTCCCGCGCCGGAGCCTGCCGTTGCTGCCGCGCAGGCGACACTGGCGACATGGGCTGCTGCAGCTGCTGTTGGGCCCTCTCGTGGGGGAGGGCGGGGTAGGCCTCGTATACAGGGAGTTTCCGCAGCACCGACAGCTGATCCGGCGTCAGCGGCGGCGCAGATGCCGCCGCGCCGCCCCCCGCGCCGCCAAACCACCGCCCCTGCAGCAGGAAGCTGCGCAGCTGCCGCCGCTCCGCCGGCGCAAGCCCCGCCAGCCGCGCCCGCCACGCGGCAGGCACGGGGGCGCCGCCGGCCGAACCCCCAGCCGCCACCCCGCCGCCGCCCTCGGCGCCGCTGGCCGCGCGGGCGGCCGCGCCAATGGCGTCGAGCACGCCGCCGGCGGTGCCGGGCTGCGTGGCGAGCTTGACGGCGGGGCAGGACGCGACACCGGCGCCCGCGGCGAGGAGGGCGGCCTCGTCTAGGAGCGAGCAGCCCATGCGATCCAGGGCTGAGGCGAGGTGCTCGTGCCAGCCCTGGGCGCCACGCAAGACCTGGAGGGTTGGGGGGTGGGGGGCGCGTCGAAAGCGGGGAGAAAAGATGGGGCGAGGGGTGACAGCATGACTCACTGCAAGCAGGCAGCAGGGCGCTGCGCCAGCGAGATTAAAGAGGAACAGTGGTGCAGGTATGATGGAAGTCGTGTGCAGCCAGAGGGTCGAGGACGCCCCCACCTGCGGCGGGGACTCCGCGGCGGCGAGCCCCCCGCCGACCAGCGGCAGCAGCGGCCAGCCGCCCGGCGCGCCCGCCTCTCCTCTCCCGCGCCCCGCCAGCCACCGCCACAGCCGCGCCAGCCACGCTTCCCAGGCCGCCGCACCCCCGGGGAACGTGGCCGCGGCGGCCGCGACCTCGTCCGGCCCCACGCGCCGCCGGCCGCGCCACTCCCGCGGGAGCAGCTCGGGCAGCAGCAGCGCGCCGAGCGCGGCGCCGTCGACGCGCCGCACGTTGGTGGCCCCCAGGTCGGCCAGCGCGAGCAGGCGCGCGGTCAGCGGCGCGCCGAGGCCAGGCGCGACGACCCTGTGGCGCAGCGCCGACAGCAGCGCGCGCTCCTCCTCGTCCGCCGGCACAAACAGGGCGCGCGCCGCCTCCCCGGCCTCGCCACCCTCGGAGCCACGAACCGCCCGGCTCTCAAAGGCGCCGCCGCCGGGCTGGCCGAGGGGCCCGTCGCGGCGCGCCTGGATCGTGCGCAGGCCCCCATCGGCCGTCGGCAGCAGCGGCAGGCCCCGCAGCTCGCGCACCACCGCCGTGCCACCGAGCAGCGGCGCGTCCGCGCCAAGCGTGGCGGCGGCGGCGCGCAGCGCGGCGGCGGCGGGCGTGAGGGGCGCGTCTGGACGGTCCGGTGCTGCGCCGGCCGCTGCAGCCAGGGGGGCGCCCCTGCCGTCGAGGTCCATGTCGGCTAGGCAATACTCCAGCAACACCGCCGCAGGGGGAGGCACCTTGTGCGCCTGCTGCTGCTGCTGCTGCTGCTGCTGCTGCTGCTGCTGCTGCTGCTGCTGCTCTTGCCCTTGGTGTGCGCCACCCTCCGCCGCCGCATGGCCCTCCGGCCCTTCCTCGTGTGTCGGCGCGGCCGCGGGGTCCGCGTCGCCGGCATCCAAACGCACAGGGGCAGGCTCAGTGTCCGGCTGGCCAGCAGCGTCATCAGGCGCGAGGGCGGCCAAGGCCGCATCGCCGAGCGATCGCAGCCTCGCTCGCACTGCGCCTGGCGTCACCTGCAGGCGGAGTGATGGTGGGGTTGGCAGATGCCTGCCACTCCAGGACGGGCCGCTTGCGAAATCAGCTGCGAGGCTCCAAGGGCATTGTGTGGGGGTGACGGTCGCAGCCAGGCGCGTGTGGCTGCACGCTGGCCTCCGTCTGCTGAGTGTGTTGAGGGTCAAGGGGTCAGGGTCTTCGAACCAGGGTCCGTTGCTTAGGCTCCAGGGTTCAGGGCGACTGCCTGCCACCCAACCAGCCCGCCCACCTGTCGGGCGCCGGGTGTCCACTGCAGCAGGCACTCGCGTGCCTCCCTCCCCAGCCCCTCCACCAGGGGCACCCCGACCGCCAGCATCAGCCCCCGCAGCCGCCCATCCGCGAGCGCCGCCGCGTCCGGCAGCAGCGCCGCCGTCGGCGCTAGCCACGCGCCCTTGGGCGCCGGCGCGGGGCACCAGAGCAGCGGGCGGCGCGTGAGAAGCCGGTACAGCGCGCGTGACACCGCCGCCCACGGCTCGGGCGCGTCGGCGCCGGGGAACATGGCCCACAGCGCGGGCGAGGGCCCGAGCTCGCGCGCGGCGGCGGACAGCAGCTGCAGGTATGCTGGCGCCACCGCGTCGGACAGCAGCGCCTCATTCCACCGCGCGCGCGCTGCGCCGGCGCCGGCCATGTCCTCCCCGTGCCACACGTCTCGGCGGTTGCTGGACAGCTCGAAGTAGCCGTTGACGGCGACAGGCAGCCCCGTGGCCACGGGCAGGGGCAGGAAGCAGAACGCACGGCCCGCGGCCTCGCCCACGGGCGCCGCCCTGGCGCGGGCGCCGCCGGCCGCGTCGCGGGCGTCGCCCTCGTCGCCGCCGCCGAGCGGCGCGCCGATGCCGACCCAGGGGATGAATTTGCGCCCGCTCTCCTTCCAGGCCGCCAGCGCCGCGGCGCGCGCCGCGCCGGCGCCCAGTGCGTTGAGCACCAGGAACTGCTCCTCGTCCGGGCCAGCCGACAGCGCTGCACTCGTGCTGGTGCCGGTCGATTGCTGCCGCCCCTGCTCCTGCTCTCGCGCTTGGTTGGCGCCGCCCGCCCCCGCCCGCCGGCGCTCACCCGCCGCGGCGGCCTCCAGCATGCGCGCGCGCAGCGCCGCGTCGCCCCACTCGCGCGCCAGCCGCACACGCCCAGCCGCGGCGGGCAGCTGCTCGGAAGGCGCCGCGCCCAGTCGCTGGAAGAAGGCCGCGAGCTGCTGCTGCCCGGTGCCGCCACCGCCGCCGGCGACGAACTGCACGATTGGTGCCTGCAGATGCTGCGGCGACTCAATGGTCGCCCGCATGATCAGGCGTGGCTCGCTCCCCTCCGCCTGCTCGTCTTCCGGGGAGATCACCGAGATCTCCACAGAGCGGACGGTCTTGAGGAACAGCAGCGCGCGGGGCAGCTCCCGCGCTAGCGCACCCAGCAGCGCCCAGGCCTCCTCGGGGGGGCAGGGGGAGGGCTTGATGTCCGAGGCGGCGGCCGCGGCACTGGTGCGCAGCGGTAGGCGGAACATGGTGCCCTGGAACGGGCCCTGTGTTTTGAGTTTTGTGTAGGAGGGCAAGGGAGGGGAAAGCGGTGCGGTAGGCGCAGGGGTGGATACAAAGCGAGCGCAGAGGAACATATTGTCATAGCGGCGCAGCACGTATGAGCAGCGCGAACACACCCTGGCCCTGCGCCCGCTGTTGTGGGGAGGGGCCAGCTGCTGTAGGGCCAAAGGGGGCAGCCAGAGCCGGGGCCGACCTCCATCGAGCAGCCAAAGCGTCTGTAGGGCGCGACGGCGTCGGGGAACTGGCGCAGCACGCGCGCGTTGGCGAGGCTGATGCGCAGGCCCGGCTGGGAGGCGCTGGCGCCCGGGAGGTGCTTGGCGTCTGCGGTGCATGACAAAGGGGGCGCCGTCTCGTTTGCCTCCCGCCTGCCTCCCTCTCTTCCTGCCTTGACCGCGTGTTTGCCGCCTCATGATCAAGTGCAGTGAGTGCCTGCTGCTGGCACGACCCGCCGGCATAGCGCTATGGAATCTCGAAGGGGCAGAGCGCAGCAACACACGCAGCCTCGCATGAAGAAGCATACGACCGCTTGGAGCGGCGCCGCGTCTGCCAGAGCACTCACGTGGATCAAAGAGGACGAGGTGGTTTCCGCTGACAAAGGAGGGCAGGTCGGTCTGGGCAGGCCCCATTGTGCAAGGAGAGGGAGTGGGGGCTGGGTGAGCACGATGCTGGTCGCCTCTGGTTGCGGCCGCGCAAGCTGGCGAAGCATGCTCATGAGGGCCGCACACCACTACGATACATCGGTATTCGAGCTTTCATTTCCAATAGGAACTCAATCACCAGCTCCCACCAGGTGATACACAGCGTTGAAACCGACGCCGAATCGGCCAATGGCGGCCGGCTGCCCCATCTTCCCGTCCTGCCCGATACGTGCAATGGCCGCAAAGTCCCCAGGGCTGCGCGTGGTGGTGATTGGGGTGCATGCATGCGTGTGTGTAAGTGTGTGTGTGTGTGTGTCTGTGTGTGTGAGTGTGCTCTTGTGTGTGTTGGCGGAGGAGCAGGGGTTGGGTTGAGGGCGATGCGATGCAGGGGGTTCCGGTACAAGTACGGCAAAGCATGGGTAAAGCGGGTGTGACTGCGGGCTGTGCCTCGAAGGTGACGCGATCCTGAGTTCAGTGAAAATACCAACACCTGAGTTCAGTGGAGATACCAACACCTGAAGGGATCCATTGCAGCGGTTTCTAGAGCCTCGCGCGCCACGCCCCTGCTCCAAGGCACGTCCGCGCCCACCTGAAGAGGGCGTCATTGTACGCCAGCAGCGCCGGCCCCTGCCACACCGCCATCTTAGGGCTCTGCGGCGCCAGGCACGGGGCATCGGGTACAGCTCAGCCCTCAGTCACGAACGCATTCCCTGCTCCATAAATGGCGAGGATTCATGGCGACCAGGCGGGCTGGCGGCGAGCGGGCCTTCACACAGGCCACGACCTGTGCGCGCTCCCTAAGAGTGTCCTAGCCCGCCGCAGGGAGCTGGGCAGCCACCCACCAGCGTGCTGGCCGTGCCGTGCTGCGTGAGGTCCAGGCAGAACTTGACGCAGCTGGCGCCGGCGTCGTCCGCATTCTGAACCTGTGATAAGGAGAAGGCGCACGGGAATGAGCCGGTGGCCGGAGCAATCACAGGTATTTCAGCAGCACATTTGTCCTGAAGGATGACGGCCGGGCCTTCCCGCCCTGTGGCTGGCAGCGGCGCACCCTCGGCGCGCAAAGGCCAGCACATCTGCAATTCGCAGATGCAAAGCCGGCTCGCATTTGCACGGACACATGGGCTTCAGAAGCGACGGCTGCAGTCCACCCTGCAAGCGCCACGATCGCGCATGCGCCCACCAGCTCGAGGCAGACAGAGGGGCCCTCTGGGTAGTCGGCTATGATGTGCCTGAGCCGCGTCGTCAGCGCCTCGCTCTGCCCAAAGGCCTCGACCGCGCCGCCCGCGCCGGCGAGGCCCAGCGCGAGGCTGTCGGCCGACGCGGCCAGCAGCAGGCGGCGGCGGCTGGCGACGCCCAGGGCCTCGGCGACAGGGGCGGAGATACGGGGGTGCAGCTCTGGGGTGGGGGCAGCAGGGGGCAGGGCCCAGGGGGGAGGGGGCGGCGGATGGGGCCATGCCAGAGCTGGGCGCGATCAACCATCAATCAACGGCACTCCGTCAAAGTAGGGGCGAGCCCAGGCATGCCAGCAATCAGGCGGTCACAAGCTGGATCAGAGGCGGCCGCGCAGCCTGCCCAGCCTCACTCCTCACCTGCAATGTCGGCGCCGGCGGCCCCGGGGGCGTCGTCCAGCCACGGCGCGTCGTTGTACGACAGCTCCACGGCCGGCCGCAGCACCCCCCTCGCGTCCGGCAGCACCAGCCCCTCCTGCAGCGCCACAGCCGCCGCTGCGCCGCCGCCGCCGCCGGCCCCTTTGGCGCCGCCGCCCTGCGTCGCGCCAGCGCCGGACGCCCCCAGCAGGTCCGCCAGCGAGGCCGCCACGGCCAGCGCCTGCGCGAGCTGCTGGGCATCAAGAGGGCGCCCAGCTGCCTCAGCTGCTAGGCGCGCGAGTAGCGCCGCGTACTGCGGTGCACTGAAGGCCTCGTGGGCGCCGAGGGCTGAGAGGAGGTCCCTGAAGGGCGCCAGGTCCCCGGGTGTCACGTACAGATGGGGGGACAGATCCAGAGAGCCCTGGGAGGCGGTTTTGAATGCAGCGATTGGCGGGGCTGGTGGTGAAAGGGAAAAGCTGTGCGAGTGAGGTGGGATAAAGTAGGTCTTTGTTTCTGGTTGTTGTAAGGTGACGAGAGGGACCAAGGGAGGGAGGTGTGTGATCACAGTCATGGTGAGGGAACAGAGGGGGGTGTTCTCATGACGGGCGCTTGTGAGCAATGGCGGCCTTCAGCAGGCTGCGAGCATTGCACCATTGCCGTCAGATGCACCAAGGCGCGGCACCTCAGCTTGGGTCTACGCTGCTGGAAGGCGTGAGAGGAGAACTCGCGCACCTTGAATGCCACGCGGTCGGCGGGGACAAAGAGCGCCCCCACCCATATGCAGGGCCGCCCCGCCACCACGGCCGCCGCGGCTGCCACCTCGTCGCCGCCAGCCGCCATGAGGGCGCGGTACAGGCGCGGAACCTGCAGGGTGGGGGGTCAGGGATCAGCAGCGGTGAGCTGGCAATAAGGAAGTGTGAGGGAGTCCGGTTGGAACGGTAGTTGCGGCGTAAGTCGGCTGTTGGCGCAACGTTGCGTTCGGCAGAGGCACAGGGCACTTGTGATGTGCCCCGGCACCAGCAACGTTGGGTGCCATCATGTCATAATGAGACGTGGGTTCAGGCAACCTGCTGAGACGGGCATGAGGCAGGCTGCAAAAGAAGCGAGCGAACAAATATCATGAGACGCACGGCACACCGTTCTCACGCCCACCTGCTCAGCCAGCACGCGCGCGGTGTCCGCGCCCACAGGGCTCGAGTGGAGCGCCCCCAGCGCCGCCAGCTGTGCGCCCAGCAGCGCGCCCGGGAGTGGCCGCGACCACCCGAGCCGCGCCAGCAGCGCAGGCGAGCGGGGCGCGCCGTCCACCAGCCCGCAGGACGCAGACGCCAGCCACGCGTCGGACGCCGGCCGGCACGTCACCGGCGCAGCGAGCGGCGCGTCCTGCCCCGCAGCGCCCGAGCCGGCAGCAGGGCCCGCGGCCGTCGGCCAGGGGAGGCCGGGGGCCGGCGGCTGCCGCAAGACCGGGCACCAGCGGACCCGCGCCAGGTCGGCCCACAGCTGGGCGCTGTCCGACGATCGCGCAGCGCCTCCTTGTTGCCGCTGCTCCGCGGTCCCGGCCTCCTCCTCTGACTGAGCCTGGCTGGTGCTTGAGAATGACGAGGCCCGCGACAACTGCTGGTGCTGTTGCAGCTGCGGCTCGCGCATGCGCCGCGTCTCCCTGTCTATGGCCTTGGGGCTGCTGGGCTCTGAGGCAAACAGCTTCTGCACCGAAGCGAACAAGCCCCTGCGCTTCTTTGGGGCCGCCGCCGCCGGCAGGCGCGGAGGAAGCCCCGAGCCGTCGCCGCCGTCACCGCCGTTTGCGTCGTGCCTCGCGCCCGCCTGGCCGACGCGCTCTCGGGCCTCAGCGGCGGCAGCGGCGGCAGCGGCCGCTGCTGTGACGGCGAGCTGGCTGGTGCTCTGCTGCCCGGACAGGCGCGGCGCCTCGGCGTCCAAATAGGCCAGCAGGGCCTTAAGTGGGAGACAATTGTAAGAAGAGCCAGGTTGGTGCACGCCTGCCTTCAGGCAAAGGAAGCAAGCTGCTGTGCAAGGCACATGCGACCCCACTGCAGAGCTTCTCCCAGCCAGTGTATGCAGCATGAGCCACGCCAGCAAGGCTGGCCGCGCGTCGGATGGGCGGGTTTTGCCACGCAATTGAACCGGCACGCACCCGGCCGCGCGCAAGCGCCTCGTCGTCGCCGCCCGGCTTGGCGGCTGTTGCCTCGATGTAGCGGGCGGCCCCCACCAGGGCCTCCAGGTCTGATCGATTGGCAGGCAAAGGTGGTTGGCGGCGGTTGGCAGCAGTGCGCTGCAAGCACAAAGGCCACAGTTGCACCACAGGTGTCCGCTACGACATTTGCGAGGGGTCCTGGATGGGAAGGGAGGCGCAAGCAACGCAGATGAGAGCAGGCACAAAGGTGCAGCTGACGCCATGCGCCCCTGATGGGCTGCAGGCCGCCCCCTGCCGACCTCACCGGCTGTTGTACGCAGCCCGAGCCGCTGCAGCGCGGCCAGCGGGCCCGCGTCAGACGAGAGCTCTGGTGCGGGGAAGGCCGCCTCGGGGTCCAGCAGCGCCAGAAGCTCCGGCACGCGCGGGTCGTGCAGCGCGCTCGGCGCCCGCAGTGCGCCGGCCCCGTTGGGCACGAAGGCCACCTGTCGGCAAAGGCCGCGTGAACTTGGACGTGCAGCTGAGCCGTTCTGAGGGTGTTCGGTTGCTCTTGCTGCAGTTGCTGACAGACACACGACCCTGGTAGAAAACCTCCTTTGCTCGAGCTCTCCCTGACCCCCCTTTTTTGATCCCGTTATAAATCAATACAGACCACCATGCCTCCATTAAAAGCAACCAAACACGCTGCCCGCCACGGTCGCGCGCACCCCTCTCAGCTCCCGAATGAACGCCGGATCCTGCGCCTCCAGCGCCGCCAGCGACCGCAGCAGCAGCCCCACCGCGGCATCCCGCAGCGGCGCGGCCAGCTCAGCGAGCCTTGGCAGCACGCAGGAGCGGTACACTTCCGGCGCGGTGGGCGTGGGGACCGACAAAGCAGAGAGGACGGCGGCCTGGGCACTGCTGTTTGAAGGATTGATGAATCGCTCGTCCAGGGCGGCCCACAAGACACCTGGAGCGGTGCGTGGCACGATGGGGTTGAGGCGGGCGTGCAGCTGAGCGGTGAGGTGTGGATGGGGGACCAAAGCGGTGAGTGTCTGGGAGTGGGGCTGTATTATACGAGGACACAGTGTGCCAACAGATGAGGCACGGCGCCCCATCTCGTGCTGCCTTTCTGACCCATGTGTTCAAACCCCACAAAGCACCCACCTTGCGGCGCCAGGGCGCAACCCTCCTGAAGCGGGACAAAATTTGCTGAGCCCCCTGCATCGGCCGACCCTTGCTCCCTGGGCACCCCATCTCCATGGTTGGAAGTTTCCGCTTGCTGCTCATCTTGTGACTGCTCATCATCTGCTGCAGGCCCTGCTAGGAAGCTGCCGTCGTTTGCGAGCTCAAACAGCGGCAGCTGCCGCACGATCCCTGCCAGTGCTGCCACAGCGGCCGCCGCAGCATCGCCGCATGCAGCGCTGCCGCCGACGCCACCACGCGCCTGGAACCAGACCGGCTGCAGCAGGTAGCTTCTCAGCAGCCGCCGCTCTGCTGCGCCCAGCTCCTCCACCGTGCGGGTCTCAAGGTGGCGGCCGCCGCCCAGCGCCGCGGCCAGTGCGAGTGCGACGCCGGCGCCGCTGCCTGGGTGAGCAAGCCCAGCAGAGACCAGGGCGTCGACCGGCAGCTCAAAGGATGCTGTGTCAACAACCGCCACCCCCAGCCGTACAAGGACCGCCTGCAGCCCCTCTGGCCAGTCCCCGCCTGGCAAGACGGCCGCCGCGCTCGACGGGTCGGGCGCGAGGGGCACGAGACGGCCGCCGGCAGTGGGCAGGACTGGCCAGCCGCTGCGGGCGACGACCGGCCAGTCAGGGCGATGGGCCGGCTGGGCCAGCCACTGCCAGAGCGCCTGGACCCACTCCCTGAGCATGAACAGGTTTGGAGTGAGTGCATCGGTGCAGCAGAGCCGCATGGTGAGTCCTTCAGGGGCAGCAAGTTCATAACAGCTGATGAACCACAGTGGCAGGCCACACGACAGGGCCCATTTGCTCGGTGCTGAAGCAAGCAACCAACCGCGCACCAATTGACAAGCGGGGCGTCGTTGGTTGCGGCTCCGGCAGCCTTGCCGTCAGCCCCAGTGGCGTCAATCGCAACAGGTGCGTACGCTCCGCCTGCGCCGCGCCAGCGTGCCGGCAGGACCGCCGGGAGGAAGTCCTCCGCCAGCGCGGCGGCGTCGAGGAGCCGCAGGGTGCTGCGCCGCTGGCTGGCTGCCAGGGACAGCTGCGACGTGGATTCAGGGCCCACCAAGGTGTGGTCCAGCAGCAGGGCGCCTGGGTTGAGTAAGGGGGGGGGCAGGGCAGGACGGGTTTCTGCACACTGGAAGCTCACAAGGTGACTTGCAGGTCAGCAAGATTGAGGGGCCAGGCCTGAAATAACTGGCAGCCCAGGCACAGTGGAGGTGGTTCCAGAGTTATACCGGGAGAATACAATGGCAAACCCTACTGGCGAACTCCACACTCACCCTGAGAACCAACCAGCGCCAGCTCCAGCTGTTCTGACACCACGTACACGCTGCTGCCGCGTCCCGTGTCCCCTGCGGGGCCCACCCCTGCCATGGACGCGCCGTCAGCCAGCGGCAGCAGCCGCACGCCGAAGAGCGCCTCGACGCCTGCAGGGGCGGAGAGGTCCAGGTCCGAGAGGCAGAAGCGCAGCAGGGGCGCGACTTGCGTCGCGCGCACAAGCGCTTCGCAGCGCTTGGGATGCGCTGCCGCTGCGCGGCGGGCGGCGGCGGGCGTGGCTTGCTGCAGGTTGACGCCCTGCGGGTGCGGCACGAGATGGGCGGAGGAGTGAAGGCAGCGATAAGTGGCAAACCTTTGGGGGGGGGGGCGGTTCAAAATGTACACCACATACACGCACGTTCGTAATGCACACCCGTGCGCACAGCAGCCAGTCAAGCTCCTCCGCCCACCATGTGCCGCCGCAGCGTCTCGACCGCGCCCGCGGGCAGATCTGGCAGCGGCACCCCCAGCGCCAGCAGCCCCTCCTCCAGGTGTCCGCCCTGCCCCGGCGGCTGGCCATCTCGTGGCTGCTGCTCCCGCTGCTGCTGCTCAAGCTGATGCTTGGACGGGAACACGCAGTCGGCCGGCGCCATCCACCGCCCCGCGCCCGCTGCGCGGCTCCACACCAGCGGCCGCCGCGCCGCGAGGCGCGACAGTTCCAACACAACCGCCTGCCAGGGCGCCGCTGCGTCGAATGACGGCCACAGAGCGTTATAGGCTGCGCCAGGCCCCAGCTTTTGCGCCACCGCAGCGAGCAGCGACGCGTACGCTGGAGCAGCGACAAGCCGCAGCAGGGCCTCGTTCCACCGCGCGCGTGCCGCGCCGGCGCCGGCCATGTCCTCCCCATGCCACACGTCTCGGCGGTTGCTGGACAGCTCGAAGTAGCCGTTGACGGCGACCGGCAGCCCTGTGGCCACAGGCAGGGGCAGGAAGCAGAACGCGCGGCCGGCCGCGCTTGAGGCTGAGGCGTCCCACCTGCCGGTCCCCTCGGGCGGCAGCTCAGCGGCCACGGCAGCCCAGGGCGTGAGGTGTGTCTGCAATGTGCGCGACAGCTCGGCTGCGAGCTTGGCAGCCTCGCCGCCACCGCGGGCCTGGGAGACCAGAAAGAGGCGCGCGTGGGCGGCCGCTTCGCCGCCACTGTTGCGTGGGCCGAAGTCCCTTGCATCGCGAGGGTGGCAGAGAGATGTGGTTCAACGTTTGTAATCTGGAGCGGTTCATTGCAATGACAAGAAAGTCGCAGCTCAAGGCAAGCTGAGGATTGCAGAAAATCCCACTTAGGCCCAGGTGGGACAATGACTCAATCGCAAAGCCACCAATGGGCTAAAACAGCACAAAACGGGAGATCACCTGGTAATCAGGGCAACTCCATAGGTGGAGGCCACCTGCTCCGCCTCGGGCGCCACCGCCGCATGCAGGAACAGTGCCCGCTCCCGCGCCAGCCGCCCCCATTCTGCTGCACCATCGCCAGACCCCTGCTGCGCCGCCAAGACGCCGCCGCCCTCGCCACCGCCACTGCTGGCGGCCGCAGCCGCAGCGGCCGCACTTGCCGTGTCTTGCAGCAGCGCCGGCGCCGCAGAGGGCGGCACCGCCTGGCAAGAGAAGAGCGGCGTCGGCGCGGCCTCGCCCTCTCGCCACTCCAGCACGTCAATCCGCCGCACAGACTTGAGGAAGAGCAGGACCAGGTGCGCCTCGGCGCGCAGCGCCTCCAGCATCGCTGCCACCTTTCGGGGGTCGTACACCTGCCGGCTGATGCTGCTCTCGGCCGCCTGCTCAGCTGTCCGCAGCGGCAGACGGAACAGAGTGCCCTCATAGGGCGCCGCGCGCGACAGGTCAGCGCCAAACGCGCCTGAAAAAGGCGCGGCGGTGCCGGCCGGGACGCCGTGGCGCGTGAAGTCGAGGCGCTTGCCAGGGTTCGCGGCGGTGATAGCCGGGACGTGCTGCAATGCGCGGCGGGGGCCATGAGGGCGACAAGCGCATTGCATAACTGGAAAATTAATAGGGATCATTGCATACAATTCTGTTAGGCAATGTGAAAGTCACTCTGGCATTGTGAAACCACCATGGCAGTGAAACATTGGCACACCCTTCAACCCACAGCATACCTTGCAGGAGGGGTCAAACAAGACCAGGTACCGGTCGCTGACAAAGCTGGGCAGATCTGCCGTGGAAAATGGGAGGCAGATGGGCACAAGAGGACAGATCACCACAGCAACCAGCTGTGGCGTTGAATCTGTGCAGGACAGCATGGTGCTTGCGGCCATCCCCTATGGACCGCTCACCTGTCACATGGTAGACCGCGTTGAAACCCACCCTGTGACAGACAGATTCAAGATGGCATGATGTGGCACGTGATGCCTGAGATGAACAATCCAACAGCCGGAACCCTTTTTATAAGGGAGCTGCTCCACCTGAAAGCGAGACTGGAGGTTCATGTCTAAACATGCCGCCTTTCTGCCAGCCACTTACCCGAATCGCCCTGTCTTGCCGGCAACGCCGCGCTTCTTGCTGTCGCCGACGCGGCTGATGCTCTCAAAGTCGCGCTCTGTGAAGATGGCGTCGTTGAATGCCAGCAACGCCGGGCCCTGGAATCCCATGAGCCCATCACCCAGCAGGTCGTCTGATGAGAGCAACAGGTTGGAAGCAGTGTGTGTGTGTGTGTGGTGGAGGCGGCTAGGTTGGCGCTTTTTTTTTACCAAAGGTACGTTGAACACCGCCAACACATTGACCTATCACTGCTGCGCGAGTGCTGCCGCGCCGTGCAATAGGAGGCCCACACACCCTCAGTAACGCTCTAGCGGTGAGGCACCTGTTGCGAAGCTGCGGTGGTCGTTGACAAACGCAATGCGCGTCGCCTTGGCATCATCTGCATTTTGACAGAGCTGCAGCGCAAACACGCAAACATAGAGTTTGAGATTGAGGTCATGGTGGCCAAGGAAGTGGAGAGTTGCTCTAGCCAGCTGCTTTGCCACATGGTCAACACAGCATGGCAGGCACTGCCCCATAATGTGAGGATAAAACGTCCACCATACAGTCAGCCGGGTGGGTTACCTCCTTGAGGATGGATGTGCCCCTGAGTTTGAGGTGATTGCAAGGCAAGGTGTAAAACGTGCAGGTAAGCTGCTGTTCTGATACACATGCGCCATGGCGCGTGTCCATTGGCAGTGCGGGAAGGGCCGTGCGACTGCCTGTGCTTTGCATGCTGTGGCCAGGCAGCCATGCGGCACTCACTCTGGGTAGTTCAGCAGGACCTCTCGAATGCGCGCCGTGAGGTCCACGCGCTGCAACAGCAGGCATCAGAGGGGAATGGACACAATTCACACCTCCCACGCTGCCGCCGCAACCGTCCCCTTTGCAGGTCTCCCATGCTCAGCTGAAGCGCCTCGAGCATGGGTTATGCGTCTGCCAGCCGTACATGAGAAGGATACACATCCAATCTCACCTGGCCAAAGTCCTCCATGGTGGCGACCCGTCAGGTCCCCGCAAGAGACCTGGCAGTGGGGTGCCAGCGCGCCGCCGAGGCAGATGCTGCACCTGCTCTCTGAGGCTGTCGCTAAGCTAACGCTGCAAGGCGTGACCGCCGATTACGTGTAGAATCATTCCGCATGGATTCTACTGACTTCCAGTAAGCATTATCTGATGTTGCATGGAACCTTGAACAGCGGGTTGAGAATTGCAGTCACCAGATCGTCGTTGCAAACAGCTGATAACTTATACTCAATCCAGATCAGAACTTTCAGGCATATGATGTCTGACCACCCCCGACAGAGCACATAAACTGTCGCAGCGCAAAATGAGGTGGGTGACAAAAGGCACTACGGTAGCTACACCGGTACGGCGCCTCGTCACCGAGAGAACTCAAGTTCACCGCAAAGAATGTTGATAGATGTTATTAATACACAACGCCTACGTGATCAGTCAAACGATCTGTCGAAGCATGGAGGGGCTCCACCTGAGCTCGGAGGAGCAGCAGCTGGTCGACAGCCTCAGGGCTAAGTATAGCGGCCAGTCTAGGGACGTCCAATCAGCCGAGGGATCCGGCGACCAGGACGTGGTGCAGAGCGGCAGCACAGGTGCCGCCCCACAGTCCGTGCTTGCGGCGGGCTGCTGCGATGGCGGTGGCGTGGCGGGGGTCACCCTCTGTCCTTTGTGCCAAGGCAGCGGTCGAGTAACGGAAACGTACCACCACCGCGTGCTGGAGCGCGCGTGCGACCACTGCGACGGCGCTGGAGTCATGATGGCGGCCGACGTGCAGCGAGACATGGGCGTGCCAGCGATCAGGCAGGCGGGGGCGTCAGCAGCGGCCACTGTCAGGGACATTGGCAGCAAGGCCAAGGGCTCCATGCGCAGTGATGCTGAGCTGCGGTGCGACATTGCACGCATCGACGCGCGGCTCGATGGCTACCGCGAGGTGCGATGTGATGAGCGCAGACGAGACTGATGCGGGGTGCTCTGCTGTACGAATTGTCCGCACTTAGTGTTGCAAAATGTATTCACGGGGGGGGTGGTTGTTCTTCGCCCCTGCTGCTGTCGCTGTTGCCGTTGGTTGGAATTGCAGCCGAGCAGAATCCTGCACATGAAACAGTGCGGCAATCCGCTGCCGCAGGAGCTGGCGGCCTCGCAGCGGCTGCTGATTGAGGGCACTGGAGGGGCAGAGGGCCAAGCTCTGGGCCGTCAGCTCGCTGATGCGCTTGAGGAGCAGATTGAACGGCTAGAGCGTTGCAGGCACGCAAGGCTGCGGGCGCTTGCGCAGGCGGTGCAATAAGCTTATTAAACATATTATGCCTGTAAGCCTCGCGCAGACTGCCGTTGTACGAGCTGGCAGCTATCAGGGCGACAACGGGCATGCCCCTGCCATATTTGAGCCCGCATTGAGGTGCATGTGCAGTATGCGTGGTGGCGTTATGGCAGCACGCCGGCCAACATGCCAACCTAGTTGCAAAGAGCCATAAGGACCGTGTCCCCTGCCTGGGCAGGTGTTGTCTTATGTGACAGACTTGAATGCAAGCCACATTCGTCTGCGGTATCATGTGGTGGTGGTTTCGCGCATTTGATGAGCGACGGCGTTGACCGGTGACCAGCACTGCAGCCACACCCGGGTGATCAGCCGTGATACACACTGATAGACGCCCGTTGATCGATGTGTGAGGGTTACAATCGTGCATGGGGTCTGATAACAGTGCTATCATGTCTGTGTTGCCTTCGAACCGTGATGTTTGACAGACAGAGTCCACCGCGACCACTACTGGCGAGGCCTGCAAATGCCAAATCGAACCGGATAGATCACACAAGATTTTGAAGAGAGCCCTGCTGCGCTAGGGATTTGCCGATCACACCGGGTGTTGGCCGCAAACCGGGCCTAGACTTGCATGGATCCGGCCGTGAGGGGCGATGAGGCGTGTCCAGAGACTTCATGGAGGCCGGCGAGCTCAGAAGGACTCAGCCTGTGGCAGCAGAGTGGCAGCGGCAATGTCAAGGTTTGCGCTGCTTTGCCCATACTGCACTCGGGTGCGCAACCGCAGCAATGAGCCGCTTGAGCAGATATCTTGAGCTGCCCCTGTGCCTCGTTAGTGTCGTGCATAGTGCACAACTAGTTGGTTGCGATGCGCTCTGCGCGCATGTCCCTCCCCCGTCCTCAGGTGGTCGTAAGGGTCAAACCCGCCGAGGATGCGGCTGCACAAGGTGGGTGGGCGCACCCAAAGCCCCTGTTGCAGCAGCAGCAGCAGCAGCGGCAGCAGCAGAAGCAGCAGCAGCTCAGGAATGCGTAACATTATGGGATGTACACACCCACCTGCACACGCGCACGCCTGGCGCCGCAGGCACATTGCAGGTCCATGGGAACAGCATCAAGCTGCTCACACCCAAGCCGCTCGATTTCGAGGGCTTCAGCTGGGTCGCGGGCCCCCAGAGCAGCCAGGACGACATTATGACGCGTGAGTGTGGTCAACCTTGCATCCAGATGGGCAGATGAAAACGGGGTGCCCAGCAACCTGTGGTGCGGCGGGCAGGGGGCAGACGCCCGGACGCTGCAGCACACATATGCCGACGACATGGTTGCACACCCCATGCAGGCGTGGGTCAGCCGATGGTGGAGAGCCTGCGCAGCGGGTTCAACTCGACCATCTTGGCATATGGCGACAGCGGCAGTGGCAAGACGCACACCATGATCGGCCCGGCCGGCAGCATTGGCGACGCAGAGGTGCGCTTCTAGTGTCCAGTGTTGGTTGGTGGTGCCTGCTGCCGTGAGCCCGGCTGCTGCTGGCTAACAGCAACAGTTGTCACAGACCGTTTGACCTTCTGGAACTCACTAGAACCGTGCATTCCTTCGCCTCACTTTTCCTTGCAGGAGGGCCTGATCCCCCGTGTACTCAAAAGTCTGTTCTGCCAGCTGACAGCTGACTATGGGCCTGCCGTGGTCGACCCGACCGCGTCTGCCACCACCAGCGCCAACGCAAGCTGTGCACCATCGGAGTGCGGCGATGCAGCCTGCGCTGATGACTGCGCCAGCAGCATCAGCGGGATCGAGGGGACGGCAGGGCGCGTGACGTGGTCGGCAGAGATGGCGTTCCTGCAGGTGCGTGTGTGTGTGTGTGTGTGTGTGTGAGTGTGTGTGTGTTGGAGGGGGGTCATATATGTATGCTGCCATGGTTGACGGGCTGTTGGGCGGCTGTTTGGATTCAGCATGCACTGGAACCACTGACCGTGGTGTGTAGTGTTGTGCGGCGCCGTAAGGACCCTGGGCCCTGCCCCGGCCCCACAGGTCTACAAGGAGGCTGAAATCACCAACCTGCTGAGCAGTGGCTACGCCGAAGCCAGCACCAGCGGCCACAAACGCATGCGGCTGGCGCCTGTGCTTGACCCCGGGGTTAAAAAGCTGCCCAGGGAGGTGGTTGCCTTCCTGCGGCGCAAGCAAGCGATGGTGGCAGTTGCAACTGGTGAGGGGCAGCGTGTGCGCTAGCGACGACAAGCGCCACGGCCCTACGCAGCTTCATGTGGGGTTGGGGTGTAGAGGAGACAACAGCAGGCCTCAGGTGCAATTTTCGGTCACAAAGTCGCTGTACAACAAGAACACGCGCGTGCACACACGCACACACACACCCCGAGCAATATGCATGCTGCACGCACGTTTTTTGCGCAGCGGACGAGGCGATGGCGCGCCTGCAGCAGGGAGCCAAGCTGCGCCGCACCTGTGCCACGGTCAACAACGCCGAGAGCAGCCGCAGCCACGCTGTGTTCGTGCTGGAGTTGGCGATCCGCACGCCGCGGCCTGACGGCTCGTGGCTGGAGCAGAACCCGCGGCTGGTCATGATGGACCTGGCAGGTGGGGGCGGGTGGCGCGAAATGTCCAGCTTCCTCACCTGCTGTTGCTGCTGGATAAGGCGGTGCCGACCAGCAGGTGCCCACGTCCGCGCGTCTTGGGGGTGCTGCGGCAGCCGGCTCCCTGCTTGGTGCACGCCCCCACCCACAGCCGCGGGGGCGTCCAGGCTCCTGCGCTGAACCTCTGACGCCTCTTTGATTCTTGTGGCGGCACAGGCAGCGAGAGCTTTGACAGCAGCAGCAACACGGCGGAGACCGCGTCCATCAACACCGGCCTGCTGTACCTGGGCAACGTGCTCAGGGAGCTGGCAGAGGCGGGGGAGAGGGGCGGCGGCGGGAAGGGCGGTGGGGCGGGGCTGATCAACTTTAACAATCACAATCTTACAAGGTTCTTGGAGGTGAGCTTGGCATCTTGAGGGTCGTGATGGGGCCAAGGCAGGAAGGGTATCTAATGGGCCGGCTCGACGAAATGCTTGGGTCGCATTTGGCCGCTCACAGCAAACGCCTCAGTGCCCATGCCCCAGCCTGGCCGCCCTCACTCCTCTTGCTGCCTCGCCTGACGCCCCAACCGTCAACCTCCCCCACCTGTCAGCACTCTATGGACTCGCGCGGCCGTGGCGGCAAGGTGGCTCTGATCGTCGCGGTGCGGCCCACGCCGCCGGAGCGGCTGCCCCACAGCCTCCACTTTGCCAAGAAGGCCCTCAGCATCAAGATCACGGTGAGGGGGGAGACGGCCGACAACAGAGGAGCTGGCAGACGCGTAGTTCCCTGGCTGCATTTCTTGCGTGCATGCTGCTTGGGCGGCTCAAGGGCACCACTCAAGCACTCCTTGCAAGCCCTGCTCACATACCCAACCCACCCGGCTGCATGTCTCTCTCTCCCCCCCCTTTCCACACCACCACCGCGCCCCCATAGGCCGCCAAGAACGAGCACCTCCACGCCAAGGACATGGCCAAGCTGGTGGAGCGGCTGCAGAGCAGGGTGCAGGAGCTCGAGGTGGGTCAGCCCTCGGTTGTGATGTCCCAACCAAAGGAGGGGGGCTAGTGGGAGCGGGAGGTAGGGAGCGTTTGACTGCCCCTTTTGTATGCTGTGGCCGATGCCGGGGCGACGACGCAGAAACGTGACCGCCTTGTCGGCAGAGTTGCATGCCTGTGCACGAACAGGCTGCCACACTGCCGCCCGGGCGCCCCCCTTCGCCCCCAGATGGAGCTGCAGCGCCGTGCGGACCGCCAGTGCAACGCGCTGGAGGCCGACCGCCGCGAGCTGCGGCGCCTCTTCAGCGAGCAGGCCGCCGCCCTCGAGGCCGAGGGCGCCGCGGCCGCGGACGTGCTGCGGCGGCGCGGCGACGACGCAGTGCGCGCCCTAGAGGAGCAGCGGGAGGCGGGCAGGGCGGCCGAGGCGCGCGTGGCGGACATGAAGGCGCTGCTGGCCGCGGCGCGGGACGAGCTGGGGGCGGCGGCGGCGGCGCGGGAGGCGGAGCGGCGGGCGAGGGGCGAGGAGGTTGCTGAGCTGGCGGAGCGGCTCCGGCGGGCGGAGGCCGACAAGGAGGCGGCGGAGACGCGGTGGCGTGAGGAGGCGGGGGCGCTGCGGGAGGAGCTGCGGCAGGAGCGGGACCACGGCGCGCGCGACGCGGCCGTGGGGGCGGCGGCGGCGGAGGCGGCGGCAAAGTGCCATGAAAGCGAGCTGCAGCGGGCGGCGGAGGCGCATGCGGCGGAGCTCGCGCGGGGCGAGGCGCGGCGGGCGGAAGACGCCGCGGCGGCGCGCGCCGCCGCAGAGGCCGTCGCGGTGGCGCACCTGCAGGCGGTGGCGGAGGCCGAGGCCTTCGGCGCGGCGCGGCTGAGGGACCAGGCGGCACAGCTCGAGTCGCTGCACACAGAGCGCTTGGCGGGGGTGGAGGCGGCCGCCGCGGCGGCGGCCGCAGCAGCCAGAGAGGCGCACGCGATGGAGGTGCAGCGGCTGGTGGCTCAGCTGGCGCGCGCGCAGGACGAGATAGCTGCGGCAGAGGAACGGTCCAGGGTTAAGGAAGCTGAGACGGCAGCGCGCGCCGCCGAGGCCCAGCGCCAGGTGCAGGCCGCCTGCGCTGAGCGCGACACCGCGCGCGCCGCGCTGCGGATGCTGCGGCGCGACAGCCTGCTGCGGCGCGAGAGCCTGCTGCGGGCCAAGGCCGTGGTCGCGGAAGTGCGGGAGGACGGCACGCCACGTGGCGTGACAGCAAGCGCAGCGGTCTGTCCCATCGCACGCGGCAGCGCGTCGGCCGCCGCTGCAGCTCGGCTGACGCCGCGCCGCAGCCTGGAGAATGCCATACCCCTGCTCCTCGACGGCGCAGCTGCGTGCGACGGCGACGGCAGCGGCGCTGCGTCGCCATCGGAGGCTGAGCAGGCGGCCTGCAGGAGCAGCCGCGACAACGGGGGCCGCGCGGCGGGCGCGAACGCGGGCGCGGACGCCGCCGACCCCAGCGCCGCGGACCAGAGCCCGCGCAGGTCGGTGTCGCCCGTCACGTGGCTGCGGCAGACCGTCGCATCACCCCAGGCGATGCGGGGGCAGACGCCGGCGGAGAAGGCGAGGATGCTGCGCCAGGTGATCAGCAGCATGAAGTGGGAGGCGGCCGGCCTGATGAGCGAGCAGCGCAGCAGCGGCGAGCTCGGGCCCAGTCCTGGCAGGGATGAGGGCGGCGACGGCGGCAGCAGCGGTGGGCGGGGGGGCGGCGGCTGCACGGTCGGCCAAAGCGGTAGCAAAAGCAGCGCCGATGGTTGTGAAAGTGGCAGCAGCAGCTCCTCGTCCGATTTTGAGGACGCAGGGCGCTACAGTTACAGGCGCGCAAGGCGGCTGTTCAGTGCCAGCCGCAATGCAATCTCCCAGCTCAACGGTCACGACGGCAGTGCGGCGCCACTGGGGACCGCCCCCCAGCAAAAGCGGTGGCGCCAGCTGCAGCCCCCGCAGGATCTGGCGCTGTCTGCCACCGGCCCTGCCGGCGCCCTGGGCCCCAGGAGCCGCCCAACGTCCGCCAACTCCCAACGGCGCCTCTGCGGCCACCGCCGCGCGGCGGCTGGCGGCTGGCCGGAGGAGTACGAGCCGGAGGCGGCATCAAGGGAGGCCAAAGCAGCTCTGGACAGGGCCGTGCTGGACGACCTCGCCGCGCGGCGGCGGGCGCGGCGGCAGCAGCGGCCCGCCGGCAGCGGCGAGGGTGAGGGCGACCGAGAGAGCCCCGCCAGCCCGCCGCCCCAGAGGGTGACTGTCGAGCTGCTCGTGGGGGCCCTGCAGGGCGCGAAGCTGCGGGGTGCGGAGTGGCGGCGTGGCGGCAAGAAGCGGCACGAGCTGGTGGCTGACTACCTGGCCTGGGCGGCCGCCCACCCGCCCGCAGCTGAGGCGGCAAGCGGCGCGGATGCACAGGCGCGGCGCAGCGGCGGCAGCGTCGACAGTCGCTGCTGCTCTGCGGCAGGGCGCCAGCAAGGCGCAGGCTGGGAGGGGGTCCCAGGAGATGCAGCGTGCGATGCGACTGCCGAGGTGCAGGTGACCCAGCGGCAGGACAAGCGCCAGCCAGGGCCCACTCATCCAGTGCCTCAGGCATCGTTATCGTCACCACCGCCACCTCAGCAGCAGCAGCAGCAGCAGCAGCAGCAGCAGCAGCAGCAACAGCATCAACAGCAACAGCAGCAGCAGTCGCCAATTCCTAGTCCCGCCATGGCCCTGGCCAGCCGCTACGCCGACACCCCCCCGCCCACCAAGCTCCTAGCAGGCCGGCATCAGCAGCTGCACCATGGTCCGCTCGCGCGTGGCAGTGCGCTGAGCGCTGATGCCGACGTTTGCCTCCAGTGTGTGGGGCTTGCGTCTGGCGCTACGGGTTACAAGGGGGTCACCCTGGACGACATCTTCGCAGAGGGCTCCCGTAGCTTCTGCAACGGGCAGCTGCCTGTCAAGGGCCGGCGCGGCTGAGGGCTAGGTTGTGCGTGTTCAGGAAGACTGCTGCCGGTACCGCTCGCACACGGTGCGTACCCTGGAGCATTGCAGTGTAGGCAGCTAAAGGCAGCCACATGTGCACTTCGCGTCCTGCAGCTCCTTTGCGGGTGCCTGAAACCAGGGAGTCCAGGAAGACAATGGATTGCACTCAAATCACCACCCAGCACAACGCACTGCCGTTTGCGTTGCATATGCAAGGTTGCACGGAAATTATTCGTCTCAAGCGGTTGCATGCGGTTTCCTGCGTACCTGACCCTCTGATGCCGCGCGTTTTTAAGTGCCGTAGGGGACAAATAGCTGCTTTCAAGGTTGGTGCACACAGCCAGAAGCTTTTGGAGGAGGCGCAACTGCACAGTAACCATCGCTGTGATCACAGCGTTAATTAATGAATGGCATTTGATGGAGGGGGATGCTTGATTACAGGACTTACTGTAAGGCAAGTCTGAGCAGGCCACCACCTTTATTAGGAGTGTGGCAAATGACGAGCTGCTTGCCTGGTGGTGCCCTTGAGTACATTGCCATGCCCAATTAGGAGTGCAAGTCATGCCTGCATGTACTCATCGTGAGGCATATGTTTTGGCATGTTTTGTGCCGACAAGGGGCCGAGCACTCTCTGACTGTGTAGCTGGCGGCCCACGGTCGAGCAAGTATGGCAATTGACGCAGTGTGATGGGGGGGCCCTCAGGCATACCGCCGTAGGCTCTTGATTGTATTTGATGACGCAGAAGTACTGGTGGCTGCGCAATGGGGAATGCCCTGTATTGAACGATCGGCCATACTGGCTTGTGCAGCGGCATCAGCTGCGCCGAGCGCGTGGGCCGCTCACCCACCCAGCCAAAGCCCAAGCCACTACCGGTACCGGTACCGGTACCGTATGTTGGCGTTTTGCCCATGCTACATCTAGATCACTATAGCAACCATTTTTTGAACAGTATCGGTCCCGTACACAGACTTTTGTTTTATATCCGTGACTTGTCTCCCGCTGTGATCTCAAGTTTGACCACCCTGAGGCCTGACCGCGCGGCGGGCAGCACCACAGATATGGGGCGTGCTATGAAGCTGAACGAAGAGGAGTTGGTGCTGTGCCGAAAGGCGTTCCAGAGCTTCGATAAGGACGGTGCGCTCGATTTATATGTGATCGTGCACCGTGCACGGATGTAGAAACCGTCAACACAGCCAGAAGTTGTACCTTCCATACGTACAGCACGTTTATGCTGTGCATGACGCACCGCCGCTGCAACGCTGCTGCTTGTGCTGCTGCATCACGCGCCACGCACGCCAGGCAGCGGAACCATCGATGTCAAGGAGCTCAAGGCAGCACTCAGCTCCATGGGCCAGGAGATGAGGTGAGTGGGGGTTGGCCAGAGAGATACCGTAGTGACAGTGCCTGGCATGTCATCAAGCCTGATTGGTTATGAACCCGTATTCCCTGCATCCCTCCCCTGCCTTGCCCACAGCGATGAAGAGCTCTTTGTCATGATCCACGACGTGAGCACTCATTGTATGCTCGACTCGGGGGACAGGGGTCCCTCTGGCAGCTGGAAACTCAAGGGGTTGCTCTGTGCACCGCCGCACTGGGTGTACGGGGGCGTCATCCGGGTTGGCCTAGCATATGTGATGCTACTGTTGGCCTGGCATGACTTTCGAGTATGTCGCCCTTACTTGGCAGCAACAGGCCACTGACGCCCTGCTGGCCGCAGGTCGATGAGGACAACAGTGGCGAGATAGAGTTTTCAGAGGTGATCGACTCTGGAGCAGGCGCTCGCAGGCTGAGCTCGGCTGCTCAAAGGGTCGGATTTAGCGCTGCCAGTGAGTGACACATGGATCCACGCCACCCGCCTACTCACAATGCACGGCCTGGCGCCCACTACGCGAGTCCCAGTTCTGCAAGGTGATCTTGAAGCACAAGGCGGCTGCATCGGACAAGGAAGGCGCAGAGGCCGACACCCTTGACGCGTTTGTGGCGCTTGGTGGCAACGTAAGGGCAAGAACGCGCGTTGCCGCACGTGTGCCTGTCACATTGTTTGAACCGCTCAAGGGGTGCTGCTGTGAGGGCAAGCGTCAGGAGCTCACCACAGGAAGCTCAGCAGCTTCAAACTCTGCCGCCACGCCCGCAACAGCCGGACAGGAGCGGCAAGGTGTCAACTGAGAAGCTCCGTGCCACCATCAAGGTTAGGGCAGCCTGCCAAATGGTGGCACAAGCAAGAGGGATGCCGTCATGTGCGCGGCAACGCACTGGGCTGGGTTGCGTGGTCTGTAAGCTTCAAGGTTGCCGGTGGAAACACAAGGGGCCACCACCGACCAGCTCACAGAGGTGCACGCGCAATGACGCCCCCCTCAAACTCAACAGGCATTTGAGCTCACATTGGACGTCGACCGCCTCATAAAAGAGGTGACTATGTTTTGTGAGGACCACCCACTAGCCAGCCCATTGCCCACTCGCTACTGAGTTGAGTGTCGGCTGCGCTGTTGCTGCATGTCCGCAGCCTCACTGACACAGCCTTGCTGCCTGGCCCGACCAGGTCGACCTGGACCGCAGCGGCTTCCTGGACTTCAAGGAGTTTGCCGCCATCCTCAAGGGATGATTTGTGGCGGGCACTGCAGGCCGCGCATGGTGTCGCGTTAAGACATCGGCTCTGCTTGTGCAGCTTGTTCTGCTATTGCTGAGCTGTTGTTCACGTCTGCTGTGGCTGGAAGTTTAAGTTGTGCCTTGATGTTTGCAACTTGTGAGTGCTTCTGTGTGGCTATGGATGCATTGATTCCTTGTACCTAGTTACTTCATCCGCACAAACAACGGGTTCCATGTAATGTGCCTGGCAGGATTGGGTGTGGGTATGCAAGCGCACAGCACGTGCCACTGGCCTCTATTGCATCTTGCGAACTGTTGTGGTGCGCTCGGCGTGTGAAGCAGTGGAACCAGCAGGTTTGCCGGTGCTGCACCGCTCCTCGCACCAAACTGGAGATGGACTACTGCTGATGGAAGATACTACAGGACTGCCATGCAAAACGGTCGAGAGCGCACACCAGGGTTCCTCTGCATGCGCAACAAAACTCACGCAAACCGCCACCAGGCCAACGGCGACTGCGGTGTCGCCGACAAAAGCCCGCTTGTCTGTCCAATTAGTCCTCCTCGTCACCCTCCAGCAGGCCGCGCAGGAGGCCCGCCAGCAGCCCCCCGCCGCCGCCGCCGCCCCCCGCGTCCAAATAGAGCTCCTCTATGCGCGCCAGGTACGCCCCCAGGGTGGGGTCTCGCGCCAGGGAGGGGCCGTACTTGGCCTTGAGTAGCTTCTCGAGCCGCGTGCTGCGCTGCTGCAGCGCTGTCAACAGGAACTGGCAGAAGTGCAGAAGCGGGGAGTCCGGCAGGGGGGCCCCGCCGGCCCACGGCCGCCGCTTGCAAGCGTCGAGCACCGCGTCCGCGTGCTGCAGCTGGCGGCCGGTCGTTGACGAGTGGGCGCAGGCAAGCGTCTGCAGCACTGCGCGCGCCGCAAACAGGTCCAGCTCCTCTGCAGGCGCCTCGGCGGCGCAGCCGGCAAGTGCGGCCGCGAACGCGCCAGCGTCGGCGCCACGCGCGAAGTGCACAGAGGCGCGGCCGAGCTGGCGCCAGCCGTACGCGGCTATGAGGTGCTGTGCGAAGAGGTCGTGGAGCTCGCGCACGCCTGCGTCGGCGCCCTGCTTGTGCGCCCACTTGACCGCCGCCGTGACGAACCGGCTGCACGCGTCGACGCCGGCGGCGTCCTCCGCGCTGTGGGCGGGCATCGCACGTACGATGTCGCAGAGCGCGCCGAGCGCCACAGGGCCCGCGGGCGCCTTGTCTGCGACGTAGGCATCAACGAGCATGGTGCCCAGCTCTGTGCCGCACGTGATCTGGCCGCCGCGCAGCTGCTGCACCGCGCCCTCACTGAGCACGGTGTAGGCCTCGTCCAGCTGCTTGCGGGTGTGGTAGCGGTGGTAGGTGGTCTTGTACATCTGCTGCGCCTCGTAGAACGCGCCGGCGTCCAGCTGCGCCTTGACGCGCTGGAGCGCCTTCTGGACGCCCGCAGACGTCGCCGTCCCTGAGGCCGATGCCATCGCTGCGGCCGGCCCCACAAGTGCAGCTGCTGCGGAGCTGTGGCTGGCGCTGATTGCTGGTGCGCTGTGTGCAACTGGCGTTTGTTGGGCCAGGGCCCTGGCTCAAGTGGCAGCTGATGCTGCTCGTGTGTCACTGACAGCGTGCAAGTGCAAGCGGCAACTGCTGCGCCGCACACGATCTGCCGGTGTCGTGGAACTGGCTGATTTCAGATGTTCCGTTGCAGGTTGTGGAAGACCCTCGGAAGCAGGCACCTTGCTGCGAGAAAATGCCTGGATCGATGTGCATGCGTATTAGCACCCAAGTGCATGGAACGCTGCGTATGCTGTACGTGATCAGAAAAGCATGGTGTCATAGTACAAGAATCAGACTGCAGGTAAGGTGCTGAAGCAGGTGCAGCTGCTTCCGCCACAATCTCCACACACCCACCCCAGGCACACCCCGCACAAAAATCGAAATCGTTCGTAGCACTCTCATTGCTGCGCGCTAGCTATCACAAGTATCTTTACCTTGAAAGTTGATCCAATCAAGCACAATGGCTCTCGCTCAGCAGCAGCAGCGCGTGGCGGGCAGCAGGCAGGGGCAGAGGCAGGCCTTCAGCGCCCGCGCTCCAGGCAGCGCCCTGCGTGCTGTGAAGCCCGCTGGCATGGGCCGCAGCCTGCGTCTGGAGCGCGCTTGCCTGGTCCGTGCCACCGCTGAGGAGCAAGGTGCGGATTGAAGAGTGTGGTGTTTGCTGCTTCGGGCCCTCCGTCCGCATAGAGCTGCGCCTTGATCCTCACGCGCGTGCACGCGATACGCAGAGGTCAAGCAGGTTGTCGTGAACCAGGCCTCGGCCCCAGCAGACGCAGAGGACAACTGGATCCCTGTCTGCCGCCCTGAGGACCTCCCCAAGGGTGCGCGCCGCTCGCATGCCATGAGGCTGCTTGGAGGGTCAAGCATATGTCTTCAGCATATGTTTTTTGAGGCCTTTGAGCGCGCGGGAATCCCTTCTTTGCCTGCAAGCGTGTCAGCGATTACGTGCACCCCACGCGCACATAGCGTTTGTGGTGCGGTGCCCCGTGGCCACACGCACGCGCTCGACCGGCGCCGCCGGCTGTGTCCGCAGTTCAAATGTATTGTGGCACTGGTCAGGACACTCACCACGCCAGCACACGTGTGCATCGCACAACAGTGGCTCACGCAGAATTGCGCGCCACCCCGCCCCTTGTCTGTGTTGCAGGCGTGCGCAAGGAGTTTGACGTGAACGGCCTGTCGGTGCTGGTGTTTTGGTACCGCAATGCACTGTACGCCATCGAGAGCCGCTCCCCCGCTGAGGGCGCGTACGCCGAGGGCTTCATCAAGGCCAAGTTCACGCAGGTGCGTGCGCACGGGCAGGGCTGGTGCGGTAGGCATGGTTGGGTTTCTTTGGTGGCCTGGTGTGGCACACGCAACCGCCATCATGCTACAAGGGCGCTCTGATGAGGCAATTATCATTCGATGCTCTGGACAGGTCTGCCAGTGGCTGCACAACCGAGCGCCGGCGGCGCCCGCACCTGCGGGAAAAGCGCAGCCGTGACGGTGCCGATGGCTTGCGCCCCGAGCCGCGTCCCCGCAAACACGCCGCCAACACCCTCCCCCTGGCCCCCGGCCCTCCACTACTCCCCCCAGGACTACGCCATTGAGTGCCCCTCCACCGGAAGCCTGTTCAGCCTGAAGGACGGCTCCATCGTCAGTTGGTACCCCAACAACCCCGTGCTGCGCGCGCTGACGCCCACCAACACCTGCCGGCGGCTGGAGATCTACCCCCTCAAGATCTCGCAGGACGCGGTCTACGTGGACACCAGCAACGCGCGGCTCGGGACGCGCGCGCAGTCGGGCCGCGGCGGCGCGGGTGCGTGGCTTGCACGCCGGGGCGGATGGGCTGGCCCAGGATGGGGGAGGGAGGGAGGGGTGTGTGCAG